GGGGGAAGGGAAGACAATGAGGCATTGAGGCCAAAGCAGAAGAGAAAAACAGGTAAGTCAAAGTACATTATTACCTTGACCTTCTGCTGCATCTGAAGGCAAGACACAAAACTTAGGACCCTGGAGCAAGAACTCAGCCCCCGGCAACAAAGCACACGGGCTTTTGATGAAACACGCTGGCCCTTGGCACTGAAGGTAGAGACGGGAAGCAAAGGGTCCCCAAAACCTGAGACTTTTTGATGGCAGAAAAGGCTGGAAGCCCCTGAGGGCCACATTGGGGAGAGACCCTCCTAGTAGCCACACGCCACCCCTTGCGGGGCTTGCTGGTGCACCCCGTGCAGAGTGGTTTCTGCTCTGCCTTTCCTGACCTCCACGCAGTGATAGTTGAAGCCATCCTGGGCAGGAAGTCCCAGCCCCCAGCTTCACAGTGGTCTTAGCCACCCCACATCCATGGGATTCCTCCTGATTCCCACCCAGTGTAGGTACCAGGTACATAACACATGAAGCACACAATGTCTTCCCACAGGCTGACAGTACAGAGAGTGAACAGGGAAGCAGTCACAGATGCAGAAACAAACCACCAAGACCAATCCTTCCTCATGATCTCCATACCAGTCAGCAGGGGGCGCTGTGGGCTCATTCAGGAGAGACATCTAGTCAGGGCCATCAGGCTGGGAGGGTCGGAAGGCTTCCTGGGAAGGTAACCCAGGCCCAAAGAATGAGAAAGGCTAAGTGAAGAGGGGACAGCAAGAGAAGATGCTGGAGCCCCGGGGCACACTCAAGGAAGTGAGTATGGCTATGGAGAAAATCTTATGGGGCCATGGCTGCAAGGGTGGGGAGGGGAGCGAAAGGGCAGGGTTGTGGTTTGAGTGGAACTAACCACAGAATGACAAGCTCAGGGGCTCAGCCATGACCTGGGAGGAGTGGGGGACATGAGAGGTCCTGGCAGAGCTGGTTCTGTGCATTTTTAAGCAGGTCCTTCTGTCTGCTCCATGCAGGGGGTAGTGTGGGGAACACTGGGGCAGGCAGGAGGCTGATGGAACCATCCAGATAGAGGACTAAGAGACCTGGCCCTGGAAAGGCATGGGCCCTGGTGGTGGTGTGACCCCAGAGCAGGGGGCACAAGCCCCAGGATTGGTAAACCACGGATGTGGCATGAGGAGACAGGAGGACCCAGGAGGACTGTGGAATCTGTGAGAGGGGCCATAAGGATGGGGTGGATGCAACTTAAAAACTCTGAAGAGAAATTTGGTAGTACAGGGAGTGGATACAGAAGCAAAAGTGGTCCTTTTCAAAACTGGGGGATACTTCACACTTGGTTCCCTTCTGTGTAAATTGGGGGTGATGTTAGCACTTGCACAAGTGTCCAGTACAGGGATTCAGGACAATGTAGGTTAAGCAATGATAATGACATCATTAACAGACTGAAGGGGGAAAAAACAGGGCCAAAGATGAGGGTCCACTCATACAGGAGCCAGAGGGTGTAGTCTGAAGTCTGTGGCAGGGAGGGAAGCTTTCCTTTAGACTGAATAGGGGGCTGGGGAAAGGCCTATTGGTTCCCACTCAGGGATCTGTGAGGCCAGTGGGTTCCATGCACTTCTTTGGAGCCATCATAGTCCTTCAAACCCACTTGCTTCCCTCGCCTATGCCACCCTGCCAGCAGGCTCATCTCCACTGCCTGGCCCAGCAATACTCTCACCTCGAGACTACCCCCCAGTAAGGTCACATCCATGCCCTCCAGCTTTGTTGCCACATAACTTTCAGCTGTCATTAACACTCCCTCTTTTGGGTTTATTCTTTCCCAAATATCATATAAATTGCTCAGTTCTACACACTGTCCTTCATGTATTCACGTTTTATTTGGCTTCCCTGATAATCCAATTTGAAAAGCTCCTATCTGTTTTATGTGAAAATAATGTATTTTCATTTCACCTTAGTACCTCCACAGAGACAAACAGATACAACCCAGACATCTCTTTTTTGGTTTGGAAATCAACCTTTTTTCTCCTTCCTGTTTCTACCTACTGGTACCCCTTCTGGATTCATTGCTTCCCATCTGAAGTAAGTTCCTTCAAGGACTGTCTGTGCCTCTGTTCATCTATGAGATGAGGGAGTACGTCATTCCTAATCAGTGGGGCTGTGGGAGTTCTTACTCTGGGTAATGATGCTGTACTGGAGTGTATGGTGGCCCCCAAAAAGATATGTCCTGGAACCTGTAAATGTGACCTTATTTGGAAAATGGTCTTTGCAGAAGTGATCAAGTTAAGGATCTTGAGATGAAATCAGGCTGGATTATCCAGGTGGACCCTACATTTGATGACAAGTGTCTATATAAGAGACAAAATAGGAGAGTCAGACACAGAGGGAAAGGCCATGTGAAGACAGAGGCAGAGACTGAAGTGATGCAACCATATACCATGGGACGTCTAGGGCCACCAGAACCTGGAAGAGGCAAGAAAGGATCATTTCCTAGAGCTCCCAGAGGAAACCAACCCTGCTGACACCTTGATCTTGGACTTCTGGCCTCCAGAACTGGCAGAGAATAGATTTCTGTTGTTTTAAGCCAGTCTGTTTCTTTTATTTTATGCTGGGACAAAGGAAAGCTCTAAGGACAATCCAGCCTCCAGGTCTGCACTCCTTCTGACTCTTCCTTGTTCACACCACTCTACAGTCAAGCTTCGCAATTCCTGGTGAGGTGACAGTATCTCCAGCAGCGAGACCAAGAACAGTTGCACAGGTTGTGTACTGAGATGTGAATGGTGCCCCCAGAGTACTGTCCGCAGTCTGTGTAGCTGTATGTGGTGGCCCTGGTCAAGAATGTTGTATAAGAGTAAAAGAAGCAAATATGATGGCCAGATGAAAAAGTAGTTGGAGATTTCAGCAATATCCACATTCAAAACATTCTGGGACTTGGGTTAATTTTCTGGGGAGCTCAGCTCCCAGCTAGAATTAAGGGCAGAGTCCTAGAGCAAGGGTAAGAGAAGCCTCATAGGGGATAATCCTAAATTTAGGAAAGAGGAAATCTACTGCTGAGTCAGATACTGTCCCTTGAACTAAAAATCACCAGTCTTAGGGATACACTCTTAGCAAACAGTGACACATCAAAGCTGTGCTTATAAAACCAACAAGTGTGGTTTTTCTGCCCCCGCCCAACAGCATTCCCATGGGTACCTGACAGCTTCCAAGACAGAATTCCATTTGTACCCCATCTTATAGAAAACCACGGCATAAAACAGTCGCATCCTAGCTTTCACAAATCTAGCATGTAAAGGAAGGGGCAAAACTACATCTAGTTTCTCTCTTGCATTCCTACTCCTTTAAAACAATTCACAATTCCACGTATTTTAAGATGTTCTGGCTCACACGGGGAGGAGCAGGGACACCAGGGCAGTGACTTCTTGGGATCTGAAAGGAAGGGAAAGGTTGCCAGAATGAGTGGTCCCCAGAGACTGCTGCCTTCTGCTCTGGAGAAAAATGATAGCAGTAGAGGGAGCTGTTGACCTCAGAGCCTCTGAAGCTCCCAAATTCCTTTGAGTGAAATCTGAGGCCATACAGAAACCCCAGGGTCTCTCCTGTTCTATGACAAGGAAACATCACAATGGCCACTGGGCTCTGCCCCCACAGAAATCTGGCTTCTAAAAACTGGAACCCTGGAAGACCAAGGTCAATGTGTCCAGCCCCATCCTCTCTTCTAGGCTGGTTTACACTTCAGTTTGGCCTAGACCTGTCCTCCAGGATTTCCAAAACTGCAACCCCCCCGCCCCACCCCCAGGAAGTCTTCTCTGGAGTTGCTCTCAGGCAGGCTGTGGAATAGACCAGAATCTCAACTTGCTCATGTTTCTTCCCCTTTCCCTCAAAAGGCCTTAACCATTCGTTCACATCCAGGAGTGGGGGGAATGCAATTGCTGCGGGCACAGCCACAAGCAGCTATAAGGCAGATCCACTTACGCTGGATGCGGAAGCAGAACTTCTTCTGCTGGTAGGAGATGTAGCTGGTGACGGCGCCAATCAGGGCCATGGCCAGGGCACTGGCCACACCGGCAATGGTGCCAGTCTCTGGTGACATTCCTGGGTAAAGGTGAGGGTGGGAGAAATGAGAAGACTCAAGGTCAAGCTAACTGTACCACAAGGATTGGCTCAGACACTGACCTAAGTTTGTTCTAATGCTCAGGACCTCTGAGCCAGTGTTGAGAGGCCCAGCCATTTGTATCAAAAGGGTTCAAGTGACATAGTGCCCCCTTGGACTTGCCAAATGCTTCTCATTTTCCATAAGGACTTCCATTTTGAGAAGCTTAAAAGGTGGACATGGAAATGGCGCAGTCCCTCCCTATTTAACTCAGTTCCAGTTAGGTCTCTGGGTCTCATGCCAGCGAGGTTCCCATGGGATGACCTCCCTGGGGATCCATGTTTTCATGATTCATTCCTTTAAATGACTTTGTCCCTCTGCTGTTGGCCTCACAGTTCTTTAGCAGAAACGTTCAGGGGAAGGTCTGGAAGGCCAACACTGTGATGAGAGTGGGCCAGCACTATGTCTCCTATGGTTTCCAACAGAAATCTTGGGACTCAAACTCACCAGCTTCAGAGTCATCATTGTTGCCATACCCGCCATCACCTGGAGAAAGGACAAAAGCACATAGTGTCCGCTGTGAGTCTGTGACCATCCAGCTTGGGGTTAGGAGAAACAGTCCCTTTCCAATTCCCTGACCCTTCTTATTACCCCCTGCACAGGCACCAGCCAGTAAACCTCCCAAATGAAGCAGGACTCACAAAGCCCAGGCTTCCAGGTAGGAATTTTTATTTTCAAAATGATAGCAACTATGCATTGAGCATTTGTTATATCCCAGATCCTAATGCACAGTACTCCACTGAATTTCCTTGCAATCAAATGGGGCAGATCATCCCCATCTTACAAAAGAGAGAGCAGAAGCTAAAGAACTTGCCAACAGGTGGCTGAGCTGGGCTCATGCCAGGTGAGTCTGACTCTGAATGACAACAGTATGTGTGTCCCATGTATCTACTATGGTGAGAAGTATTTATTTTTTATCTGAAGTGTATGTAAAACTTTGTTTTAAAAAAGATGAAAGGCTAGCATAAATATTCATAATCCCACCAGCCAGTGAGATTTACGGTTAATATTTTCAATTTACTTTCTTCCTCTGCCTAGTACTTTATCTGCTTTTCTTCACATCCAGATGTTTCTGTTCATGTAACTTAGGTACATATACAGCATCCTTATGAGATGCTACAGGATTAAATCATAAGAGTTTTTAAGGGCTTCCACTTCCAGCTTGGCATAGATTTGGAGTTGTTCTTGGAACATACACAAATGCAGGTTGACAATCCCTTACCCAGGATTTTGAAATTCAAAAGGTTCTGAAATATCACAGAGATGGAGATGAGATAAGTGGCTGACAGGAGTTAAGGAGGATGGAGTGGGGGGGGGGCTGTCTGTGATTATAAAAGGAAAACAGGCAGGATCCTTGCGGTGGCACAACTGGCCTTTATCTTGACTGTGGTGGTCACAGGAATCTATACATGAGATAAAATTTCATAAAACACAAACACACACACACTTCCCCAGACCAACAGCTCCCTGCCAAGCAAGTGGTGCCATTTCAAGACATTAATTTGCCTTGAGCACTCCTTTCATGTCGCCCTCTTCTTCTCAGGACATAACACTCATTAATGGAGGGAGAGTGTTCACAAAGCCCAGAGTCCTCAGGGGGAACGGCCCTGGGATGTTGGAGGCAATGAACTCTAACATTTCTTTCACCAATCAAAGAGTCTGGGGCAATGTGGTTCCTGGATCGTAACAAATGTCCACCCTCTGGGAAGGGATATTGGTAATGGGGGAGGCTGTGTGTGTGTGGGAGCAGGGTTGATATGCGAACTCTCTGTACATTCTGCTCAATTTTGCTGTGAACCTACAAGTGCTCTAAAAAATAGTTTATTTTTTAAAAAGAATCTTGTGGGAGAAAATGAGGTTTGTTATGTTCCCACCTGGGGCAGAACCCTTGGGTTAAATGCATTTTATAAAGACCCATGATTGGATATGAATGGTTATTTACAAAAAAAGGAACACTGGCATTTTAAAAACCACAATGGGGGTTCATCAGTGGCCCCCCTCTGCTGTGCTAGAGAGGCAAGCCCCTTCACAGGCGTCCTCTACTGACATGTCACCAGATTTCCAGACAGATCTGAGCAATTCAACCTATTCTTTCTTTCACCTTGAGGTGAAATGAC